AGGGGTGTGTGTGGTGTGTGTGTATATGTGTGTATAAGTGGTATGCATGTGTGTGGTGTGTATGTAGGAGATGTGTGTGGAGGGGTGTGTGTGGTATGTGTGTATGTGGTGTGTGTGTAGGAGATGTGTGTGGAGGGGTGTGTGTGGGGTTTGTGTGTATGTGTGTGTAAGTGGTATGTGTGGAGGGGTGTGTGTGGTGTGTGTAAGTGGTATGTGTGTGTGGTGTGTATGTAGGAGATGTGTGTGGTGTGTGTGTGTGGTGTGTGTGTGTGGTACGTGTGGAGGGTGTGTGTGTGATGTGTGTGTGGTATGTAAGTGGTATGTGTGTATGTGGTGTGTATGTAGGAGATGTGTGTGGAGGGGTGTGTGTGTGTAGGAGCTGTGTGTGGAGGGGTGTGTGGGGGGTGTGTGGTATGTGTGTATAAATGGTAGGCATGTGTGTGGTGTGTGTGTAGGAGATGTGTGTGTAGGGGTGTGTGGTGTGTGTGTGTGGTATGTGTGTATGTGGTGTGTATGTAGGAGATGTGTGTGGAGGGGTGTGTGTGGGGTTTGTGTGTATGTGTGTGTAAGTGGTATGTGTGGAGGGGTGTGTGTGGTGTGTGTGTGTAAGTGGTATGTGTGTGTGTGGTGTGTATGTAGGAGATGTGTGGTGTGTGTGTGTGTGTGGTGTGTGTGTGGTACGTGTGGAGGGGGTGTGTGTGATGTGTGTGTGGTATGTAAGTGGTATGTGTGTATGTAGGAGATGTGTGTGGAGGGGTGTGTGTGTGTAGGAGATGTGTGTGGAGGGGTGTGTGTGTGTGTGTATGTGGTATGTGTGTATGTGGTGTGTATGTAGGAGATGTGTGTGGAGGGGTGTGTGTGGTGTGTGTGTGGTACGTGTGGAGGGGGGTGTGTGGGGCGGGGTGTATATGAAGGGTGTGTGTATGTGGTGTATATGGAGAGGGTGTGTGGGGGGTGAGATGGGGAGTGGGGTGTGTGGAGGGGGGCGTGTGTGGGGGGCAGGGGTGTGCACATTCATGGAGTGAACATTCAGGAACGTGTGCAAGGATGGGCACATCCCATGTAGATGGGCCCAGGAACCCTGAGCCCCGCCTGTGCCTCCAAGGAGACACCAGGGGTGAGGGCGAGGAAGCATAGCTCCTTCCCACCTTTGCTCCGGGGGGACTTGCCAGAGGCTCTTCCCTCCTGACGGCCCCCATCTCCTGCAGAGCTCTCCTTCAGGGTGTGGATGTGCGGTGGGAGCTTGGAGATCGTGCCCTGCAGCCGGGTGGGCCACGTCTTCAGGAAACGGCATCCCTACAACTTCCCTGAGGGCAATGCCCTCACCTACATCAGGTAGGTCACAATGCAAAGAGCACCAGGCTAGGAGCCAGGACACCTAGGTCCCAGACCCCACCAACCCTGTCGGTTACTCCTGCGGCTTTGGGCAGCTGCACCCCCTTTCTGGGCCTCAGTTTCCCCATTTGTTCCTGCCAGTTCTGGGATTCCAGGTACCTTGAGGGGTGGGAGGGTGAAATGGAGAGTGTTGGCACCAGACCTCCCTTGTCTTGACTCTCTCTGTCCATGAGCTTCTTGGAAAACTGGCCCAATCACTAACTGGACTATCTGGACCCTCCACTCACTGGGCCCCAGGTTCTGGTCACGGATGCCATGTCCTGAGCCTGACTTGTTCAGCATCTGCCCATCCATGTCCCCAGCCACAGGGTGCGCTTGGCCCTAGGGTCCAGCCATCACCCACGCTCCTGGCGGGAGTGGAAGGGGAAGAGGGTCCCGAGCACCCCCTTTGAGGACAGTTCTTTTGCTTGTCAGGCCCACGCTTCCTTGTTTGCCACAGTGGCTCCCCAGTCTAGCTAATTGAATGGCTTATTATTTCGGTTTGCTTCCCCCACCCCATTTTTTTGTTTTTGTAATTATAAAAGTAATATATGTTCACTGTAAAATGCAAAAGCTGTACCAGTATATATTACATATACACATCTGTACATATATGTGTTTTTACCCTTTATATCATATACAGAGGAACAAGCAAAAGTCCCTTTTACCCAACCTGACTCTTACCCCACTTGTCTCTCCAAAAGTAGCTACTGTGACTATAGATTTCTGGTCTATCATTTCAGGCCTTTTAACTCCTTTTCATATATGCAGTTCATGTAGAGAGAAGCACACACACCATAACTTTGTGTTTTTACATAAATGGGATCACACTGTGTGTTCTGTCTGCAGCTTGCTTTTCTGCCCCTCTACCCTAAATGGTAGACATCCTTCTGTGCCAGTGCGTACCACGGCCTGTACTCCATCATATAAGGGTAGGGGCTATCATTCTCCCATTGATAGGCATTCAGGTCGTCACCCTTGTTTTAGTAAACAAATATTTGGTCCATGTCCCTTTTGCCCACATGCAGGCATTTTGGCAGAATAGAGTCCTCCAGTGGAGTGTAAAGCTCATGTAAAGACATGAGCTGATGGTTGTTAACGGATCGTACTCATTTATACCACCCCAATCATATTACTTTGCATACATTCCCAAGATTCTCATCACCCTGTACTGCACAGAGCTGATCTTGATCCTAACTCTGTCACCTCTCTGGTGACTTTATTTTGTTCCTTCTTCCCCTTTTAGGAACACCAAGCGCACTGCAGAGGTGTGGATGGATGAATACAAGCAGTATTACTACGAGGCCCGGCCCTCGGCCATCGGGAAGGCCTTTGGCAGGTGGGCACACCCCCCCCCCCCCCCCCCCCCCCCCCGCCGCCAGCCCTGTTTGTCTCCCTCCACCCGCATTAGCACAACCAGAACAAAACACAAAATGGTGTGGACGCCAGGAAAGCACTCACAGTCTCCTTGGTAACTGAGCCCCTCCCCGCTGGACTCTCGGGCGTGGGGGGTTCTGGTAGGATACGCAATGTGAGACAGGACTGGGTCCTTGAGGAGCACACAGCCTTGAGGTTGTTTCTGGGAGAAACAACCAGAGAAGGCTCGCTGCTGAAGATGAGCTGCCCATTCACCAGCTGCCTGCAGGGAGAAGGACAGCTGTGGGAGTAGTCAGGGCCGGGCTGTCTGCAGAAAACCCTTGGGATTTGGCCGCCACCCCCTGCTGTTCAAAATACACCTGGGACCTGTTAGCCTGTTTTCCTGTCCTGGGCTGGTATGTCGACAGTCTAGTTAAGCATTTTCAAAATGTAGATTGGTTATGAAATCAATTTCATGGGTTGTGACCGGCATTTAAAAAAAAATGATAGAGAACGCGATAGATTGGAACAGAGCGAATAGAAAAGAACAGTTGATTGCAGTTAAAGCTAAGTATTGTTTGGTGAAATTTCTTTCAGTCATATGTGTATGTGTGTAGCTATATATGCACATGGGAATACTCGACCACAATGTAAGATACATTTATTTCTTAAGATTGTGGTCAGAAGGGTGCCTGGGTGGCTCAATTGGTTAAGCAACTGCCTTGAGCTCAGGTCATGATCCTGGAGTCCCGGGATCAAGCCCCGCATCAGGCTCCCTGCTCAGCAGGGAGTCTGCTTCTCCCTCTGACCCTCCCCCCTCTCATGTGCTCTGTCTCTCTCTCATTCTCTCTGTCTCAAATAAATAAATAAAATCTTTAAAAAAAAAAAGATTGTGGTCAGAAGACTAAAAACATTAGTGATCATCTCTGAATATTCTTCCCTCTGTTTATTCATATCTATATCCCTTTAAAAAAAAAAAGCTACATCTCTGACTATTTCTTTTCATGGTGAACTAACCTTTACTGAAGACCTACCCTGTGCTAGGCTCTTATGTTCTCTTAATTCATTTGATCCTCTGAAAACCTTCTGGGATAGGTGGTCATGTTTACTGGTGGAGAAACTGAGGCTCAGAGAGACGGTGGGGGGTCATCTGTCAGTGGCCATTCTGTCAGGGTAGCTGAGGACACTGGGGAGGTCAAACTGTGGCGTCCACAGGCACATCAGAGGGTTCTCACTTGCCACAATTCCTGAAAGACCTTTAAAGTGTGCTTTTCTTGTTAGATTCTTTCTGCTAAAATTGGAATGCAAGAAAGGAAAACTTGGAGTTCATTAAAGCTCTGCTTAAGGACCAGCTAGGGGTGTGCTGAGGTCTCAAGGTGTGAGAAGCCAGAGTCAAGCAGGGCCCCGGTGGGCTGCACTGATCCTGGAAGGTGAGCAGGAATTTGAGGAAAGAAATGAGGAATGGCCAGGAGACCTGGGGTGATCTTGCAGGTCAGAGAAGGATTTGAGGCAGGTGGCCACGGCTGGAGGGCAGGCTGGGACAGCTCCTGCCGGAAAGAGGGGACCAGTCTCCTGGGGCTTCTTCCTTGTGCCCACTTGCCAAAGCCTGAGCCTTCCCTTCTCTTCCAGCGTAGCCACGCGGATCGAGCAGAGGAAGAAGATGAACTGCAAGTCCTTCCGCTGGTACCTGGATAACGTCTACCCAGAGCTCACGTGAGTGCAGCCCTCAGCTTGTGCATCTGGCCTGGGTGGGGGGCCTCCCTGAGATCTCCCCATCTTGGGCAGTCCGGTTCTTTCTAGCTGTCGGTGTTGAATCTTCAGGTGAAGGCTCTGGGGGGAATGGGAAGGAGTTAAAAGTGAGATGTGGCAGGAACCAAACTTTTAACAGACTGGGTCATAGTGCCAGGAATGGGCATTGTCCCCATAGGGAGACAATGCTGCATTATGTAGCAAAAGCTGCAGAAATAAAGACTCATCTCTTTTGACTCTGTTCTCTCCCTTCTGGGAGTTTATCCTCAGGAAATAAAGCAACCAAAGCAAAAAACTATTGACAAGAGATGTTCATTCAGTGTAGACTTCTCTGCTGCTGTGAAAAATCTAGAGATAACTAGTAGTAAGGGGTGGGTTTAGTGAATCTCAACACGTGGATCCAAACAAATATTACGCGTCCATTACGATTGCAATCATAAAGCCATGCAAAGCCATGGGGAAACGTTGGCTCTGACAAACTGGAAGTGGGATGAAGAAGGGGTGTGAGCTGGGGGTGAGGCTGCATCCGCGTGTGCGCGCGCGAGCTCCCGGGCTGGGGGTGAGGCTGCATCCGCGTGTGTGCGCGTGACCTCCGGGGCGGGGGGTGAGGCTGCATCTGCGTGTGCGCGCGTGAGCTCCCGGGCTGGGGGTGAGGCTGCATCTGCGTGTGCGCGCGTGACCTCCGGGGTGGGGGGTGAGGCTCCATCTGCGTGTGCGCGCGTGAGCTCCCGGCCTGGGGGTGAGGCTGCATCTGCGTGTGTGCGCGTGAGCTCCCGGCCTAAGGCTGGCGCAGGGCAGTGAGGCTTCCTTTTTTCTCATTTCAAAATCCTTTTTATCCACATGGCTCCTGGCCTCCCCTCCTCAGGTCTTGACTCAAATGTCCCCTTTCGGGGGTGGGGGGAGGGCGCCTCCCCAGTCTCTGTTTGCAGAGCACCCCCTACCCCAGCATCCCCTGTTCCACGCTCGCCATCCAGAGCCTATGTGGCCAGTTCATTTCGTTATTGCCCCTCCCCCCCCCACGTGACAGTAAGCTCCATGAGGGTAGAGGTGCGGATCTGCTTTGTTCGCTGTTTGATCTCCGGCCCCTAGAACAGGGCCTGTCACAAAACGGGCACTCGATAAATATCTTTAGCTGAATAAATTGCATAGTCAATAAGCCTCAATAGTAATAACTTGGAAATTAGCATTCTCCTTTCAATAGCTGTCACCTTAGGGAACGGTTATTCCATCACTGGCAGCTCTCTCCCAAGGATGGTGCTGAGGCTTTCCAGAACACTCCACCCCTCAGAGCCTGCATGTCCTCGAAAAAGGCAAATCTCTGTTCTTTGAGGGCGGCTTTGGTTTTTGGAAAACAGCCATGGTTAGGTTGTCACCAAGTCCAGTGAAGAAGGCGATTCCCCCCAGATGAGGGGATCCTGGGTCCCTGATAGAGCATGACCAGGACTGAAACAAGTATCAAGAGTAAACTGATTCTGGGAGCAAGTTTCAAGGAATTTCGAAACAATTTAAGCAACATCAGCATCCTTGAAAAGAGTTAGCGGCCTGGATGAACCAGCTCCCCAGATGATGGCTGTGGAGGGAAAGAACATTAACTTATAAAAGTATAATAAATGGACCACTTTCTCCAGGGGCCACTTTTAAGGGGATAGTTTCATTCAGACGTGTCATTTCTGGGGGGAAAAGCAGCCGTTTCTTTTCATCCTGTCAGAGTTCAGGCAACATTGGGACGGAGACCCAGGTTCTAGGCCTCGGGCAGAAGCTGGGCTGCCTGTGGGAGGCACCAGGGAGGACCAGGAATATGTCTCTCCTCTCCACACCCAATCTGCATGCACAGTGTCCCATGTCATCCCCTGACGACCGAGAGGATAGAGTATTTTATACCTATCAGAAACCTGGATCCATCACAAGACAGGAGAGTGGTTGTAACCAGCTGTGTGAAATGAGGAGCATGAGTCGTCTTCCATTTGTTCTGGCACTGTCCTGAGGTTTTAAAAAACTATCTTTTGTCCGTAAGATAGAAACTGTGCACCTCATTCCTGTCCAGGTTGCTCATCCCCAGTCTGCTCTTCAAGCTCCGCCTCAGTTCTCAGGGTGAGGGGCCAGCAGCGGCTCAGGTCGTTGGTTAGGAAGGACATCTGTATGCCAAGCTTTCCTCCAAACAGGGGGTCCTAATGGTTGGCCCCCACTTGCAGACGGTCAGTGGGGAGACTGAGGAGGCTAAGAGAGAGGTCCCTGCTTTCCTAGGCCTGCCTATAGTCCCAGGACAGCTCTGTCCCCCACAGATCAGAGGTCTGCAGCTGGCCTCAACAACCACTGACCTAGTACTTTTAGTAGGACGGTCAGGAACAGTGCAAGCCGTGCACACCACATTTGCCAGGGTGCTAACCACATGGTGGGTGTTGTCCATTTATTATAACACTTCCTGGCAGATGGCAGTAAAAGTCTCCTCACAAAACCAGTATATCATGACAGTTTTCTAACAGATGGAAGTAAAATGTCTTGAGGAAGGGATGCTTTTGCTGTTTCTACAGAGGCATCGTAAGGGCTAATGGCAGCCCCTCTGGGAGGAGGCCCACGGAGAGGGAAGCAGATGCAGATGTAGCGGGGCCGGCTCAGCCAGGAAGCCGGGGAGGGTGGTGGAGACGACCATCCCAGTGGCCCCCGGGTCTGGGGCCACACAGACACCTCACGAGCCACATCCAGTTTGGAGATTGTTGCCCAAGCCCCGCATCTCCCCCATAAGCATCAGTGGGCAGGCCTTTGTGCCAATGGCTGTGGCCACACATGGACAGTGCCCACCTCAGTGCTGAAAGCTGACCACCCTGAACATCTCCCTCAGGACAGGAGGCAGGGAGAGAAAACATACAGAAGGATCTGGAACAGCCTGGGCTGCATTCCTGAGCCGGCTAAGGGGCCTCAGCAGGTGTCTCATCCCCATAGAGAGGGACAATAGAACAGGCTGCCCCTGGATGAAGCAGAGGGGGTGGACTCTGCATCCCAACACCCTCGCCCCTGGGTAGAGGTTACAAATTCAAATCCTACAGTGATCAGATGGGTGAGGCAAACCAATCTTGTGGGCAACAATGAGGCACAAGGGAGTTGTGGGGACCATGGCCAACTGGGATGCAAAAGCCCCTCCCCCCAGGGGCAGCACGACCACGTGTTAGTGCCTTGAGTGCCTCGCTGGAAGGCGAGCTCAGTGGGGCCTGATCTTCCTATTTTCTCAAAAGAAGCTGGATCCAGATTTCTTTGTGTAACCTTCAGATTTTTAATATTGCCAATTAGCTAAAAACAACGACGACCACACCATGCGGGTCAGACAAAATGTGTTTGAGGCTGGACCCTCCCCCTGGCCCCTGAATCAGAGGGCTCCCATTGACACCCTCTGGCAGGGCCCACCCCGATCCCAGGACAGAGAGACAGGAACGAGCAAAGAGCTTGAGGAACGCCATGCTCCCGCTGGCTCAGGGTTGTGTGGAAACTCGAACTCAGGGAGGGCCTGGGTGGGAGAGTGACTCAGAGGCTGATCTGGGTCCCCAGGACCTGGGGGCCCTGACTCCCAGCCCTTATTCTGCCTCTCTCTTCTGCTCCCAGCCCGTATCTGTGCTAGCTACTGGGAATAGAATGGCCCCCTTTCTGCCCTGGAGTCCAGGGGGATTATGCCAAAGCTCTCCTTTCCAGTGCCAAGCCTCAGAAAACCTGGAAGGAAGAGTCAGGATGAGGGGTGGAGAAGGGCTGGGCCTCAGGGAGCAATCTGGGGTCTTGGCTATGGACTGTCCAGCCTCTAGGCGAGGCCGAGTTGGGGCATATCATGGTCTCTGCTCAGGGTCAAGATAGAAAAGACGACATCTGATCCAAAGGAAAGGAGGATGGGGCGCCTGGCTGGCGTAGTCAATAGAGCATGTGACTCTTGATCTCGGGGTTATGAGTTCAAGCCCATGTTGGGTGTAGAGATTACTTAAAAAATAAAAACATGTATATTTTTTTCAAAGGAAAGGAAGGATAGACAGGAGCAGGGAGGAAGCAGGTGAAGGAAGTGGGAGAGAGAAGGGGAAGGAAAGGAAGTAGAAGAAGCAGTGTTAGTGATTGGCAGGAGGGGAGAGGCATCCAGAGAAGGAGAGGGATAAAGGAGGAGTGAAGAGGAGCAGAGAGCCTACGGGGCCAGGAGGGGAGCCCTGCTTATAGGGGCCTGTCTCTCTGGGGAGGGGCTTGGCGCCGTTGGTCCTTCCCACAAAGGGGAGGTGGTCCTTTTTGTTCATAGCTTCAACCACCTGTGTATTAGGGGATCATAGGGGGCATTTTATTATTGATCATAGTCATTATTATTGTTATTATATTACTATTTTTATTAAACTTCCCTCTACTGACCAGTTGGGGGCAAAATAAGTATTTATCTCTTCAAATGCCATATTCCCAGGAGGGATTGACCCTGATGCTCTGTAAGGCAATAAGAAACCAATAAAGATGACTTTTTAAGCTAAAAAAAAATGTGTTTGGGGCCATATTCAGCTTGGGGGCCAGCAGTTTTCAACCTGTGGTCTAGAATTATGCAAACTCTCAAGAGGGGCCTGGAAGGGTGCACACTCTGCAAGAGAAAGTGAAGATGTCTTCCCAAGGCTCTGTGAGAGTGGGTCATGGTTGGGGGTTCTGGGGGCTTCCAAGCAGCCTTGAGGAAGGAAGACCTGGTTTGGTTGAGATCAAAGAATGCCAGAAGTGTTATGATGCCCCCCTCCCCAGCCCACCTAGGTTCTCTTTGGACAGAGGTAACAAGAGGTGGTTAAGATTAGGCACATGGGGGCACTTGGGTGGCTCAGTCGTTAAGCGTCTGCCTTTGGCTCAGGTCATGATCCCAGGGTCCTGGGATAGAGCCCTGCATCGGGCTCCCTGCTTGGAGGAGAGCCTGCTTTTCCCCTCTCCCACTCCCCCTGCTTGTGTTCCCTCTCTCGCTGTGTCTCTCTCTGTCAAATAAATAAATATTTAGGCACAATAAATATAAGATCAGGCACACGACCAGACTCTGAGCCTCATCATGCCGTGGGGACATAACCCAAGAGGGTGTATGACCTTCTAAACCCAGGAATACAAGCCTGCATCAGCTGGGGCCAGCAGCCTCCTTAGATTTATTACCCACAAAATAAGACAATGTGTCGTGTGTGTGTGTGTGTGTGTGTGTGTGTATGTGTGAGAGAGAGAGAGAGAGAGAGAGATGTGTGTTTAAGCATATTTTAAATAATAATAAGCATTATTATTAAAAAAATATAAATTTTTAAATAATATTTTGAAACACCTGTTTTATTTAACAGTATGTTATAAACATTTTTCCATGCTATCAGATACTCGTTTGGAGTCATTTTTAATGGCTATGGGGCTTTCCATCCTACAGATGAATCAGTATTTATTTAGCCCGTCCCCTATTGTTGGATATCTATTTTTTCAGTATAACCAATCACTCTGCAAACATCCAAAATTATTGCCGCAAGATAACAAATTTCCAGAAGTAGGATTGAGATTGTTAGGTCAAATGTATGCACATTATTTTTTGTGTGCTTTTTATTATTGAAATACAACTGACATACAATGTTGTATTCATTTCAGGTGTACAACATAGTGATTCAACAATCCTCTACATTATGCAGTGCTCCCCATGATAAGTGTAGTCACCACCTGTCACCGTACGACGTTGTTACAGTATTATTGACTATGTTCCCTATGCTGGACTTTTCATCTCTGTGACTTATTTTATAACTGGAAGTTTGTACCTCTTAACCCCTTTTATCTATGTGTGCACATTTTTAAAGCTTTGGGTACATAAAGCCACATTGCCCTCCAGAACTGTTGGGCCAATTTATGCTCCCACCCATAGAGTATGAGAAGATCTGCTCCTATAGCTATTGCCAACATTGGGGATTGATACTGATTGGTGTTGATATAATATGATATATATGATATATCTTATATAAGTAAATATATAGAAATAATACATATTTATTACATATTATATGTTATGCACATATATATAGTAAACAGTGGTAACTCTCTAATATGTATTTCTTTAATCATTAGTGAGATTGAACACATTTTCCTATTTGTGGGTTTGAAATTTGTCTCTCCAAAGTGACCTTTTCCCTGTCATTTTGAGATGTCCTATTGAGTCCATATTTAGACCCCAGTCTCTCCCCGGGTTTTCTTCTCTCCAGACTGGGGAGCCTTGGCTTTCTGGTCTGAGCTCTTTTCCCAGGGTCCTCCCAGGCTTGGCCTCCAGGGCTGCCCCCAGGGCTCAGACCCAGTGGGGTGAGGCTCAGTCTTCCCAGAGGCATCCTGCTTCTTCCCCCGTCCCTGCCCCTGCTGGCTAGGGCTGCTCCCCAGGGCCCCTTCCCATGAGACTGAGACCAAGAGCGTGGTGCCCGGGGAGCTGACCGAGCACTGCCCTCTGGCTGAGGGGTGAGTAAGCCTAGAGAGGGCAGAGGACAAGCCTGAACCACTCCATTTTCTCTCAGAGTCCCCGTGAAGGAAGTGCTCCCTGGCATCATTAAGCAAGGGGTTAATTGCTTAGAATCCCAGGGCCAGGACTCAGCTGGGAACTTCCTGCTTGGAATGGGGATCTGCAGAGGGTCTGCCAAGAACCCCCCAGCACCCCAGGTAAGCTGCTTAGGGCCTCGAGGTCAGAATCAGGAGGGGGAAAGGAGCCTGGGTCATTGTCCAGGAGTGGGGGAGGGGGCTTCCCTTGGCTCATTCTCATTTTCTGTCTGCTTACACCCGCCACAAACCCACTCTCCCAGGAATGTGTACGTGTACACTGTCCCCTCACACTGCTCCTGGGGTCTGCTTCTGCCACATTCTCGTCCCTTTTCCCACCTGTCCCACAGTTGCCCTCTGGGCACCACCCACTTTCTCCTTGCTGAGGGAGAAATGTTACCCAGACGGCACCCGGTTCTCTCCTGGGATGCAGCTGTGGTCAGCGTGTATCATGGACAGCAGGGCGTCCAAGACTCCTGTGTGTATGTGCGTGTGCCACATATGAGGGTCACTGCACTCATGTCAAAACAAGAGCAGGTCGTAGAGATCCCCTAGCTGCCCTGGGCCTGCATCCTGTCTCTCCCTGTCCCCCCACCTTGGCATCCCTTGGTACATCCTTGGTTGCCCTCCAGCCAGCTCCAGCTATGCTGCCCCCCATCCTTTTATTACGAAAACTTTCAAACATACAGAAAAGTTGAAAGAACAGTACAGTGAATACCCATATACTCACTCTTGTTATTTGTAGAAAATTCTGCCAACATACACGGTATTTGTTTTATAACCTGCCTACCCTCCTCCCCATCCCTCACCGCACACTTGGACTCGGCCCTTCACGTCCCTGTCTTCTAGGCGTGGCTGTTCAGCGACCATCTCATCCAGCAGCAGGGGAAGTGCCTGACTGCAGCCTCCACGTCCATCACCCCAGGCTCCCTGGTCCTACTGCAGGGGTGCAACCTGAGAGAAGGCAGGCAGGTGAGTCTCCTCACCCCCCGGGGATGTGCAGGCTGAGTGGCAGCTCCTAGCACGGGAGCCCTGGGTTGGAACAGATGGACTCAAATAAGCCCTCCAGAGTGAGGGTCCCTCCAAGTCAGCGGCAAGGTCAAGTCTGTTGTGCTCATGAGGAAGCACTTCTTCAAGTAAATACGGTTACATGTCCGTCCTGCCAGCCTGTGGGTGACACGAGGACAGGGGCTGTCTGTCTTGTGTCCCTAGCCCCTGACAACCACCGCAGCCAAACTTGAGCTGGCTTTTACCAAGAGCCAGTGATAGGAGTTTTACATAGACCATCTCATCTTATCCTCCTGCAACCCAGGGGTTTGGGCCCTCGTCCCCTCCCCATTTTACAGGTGAGTCAACCGAGGCTTGCTGAATTTAAGAAACAGGTGTCAGATGAAACACAGCTGGGAAGGGGTAGAGCCGAGATTCAAACCCAGGTCAGTGTGAGCCCACGGTCTTAACCCAGAACATAGTAGATGCTCGGTAAGTATTTCTTGTCTGTGGCTGCCGGGAAAGTGAGACCCATGAATCCTGGGAGACAGGCCAGGCCCTCTGGCCGAGGAAGAAACCGATGTTCCGAGAGAGGACATCACTCGCCCAGGGTCAGCATCAGCCAGTGGCAGAGTCAGCTCAGCTCCCTTCCTGGGGGCGGGGAGGGGGAGGAGCCGCTCTCCCTGAGGGATGGAACACAAAGGCCGGAGGTCTCCTCCAGCCCTTCCCCTGCCCACACACGCCGGTAGCCGTCCCCGTGCCTGACCCTGGCCGGCCGGCAGGACAGTGCAGGGCCGAAGAGAGCTCCTGGCCTTTCCTCCCACCCTTTTCCTGTTTGCCTGGGTCAGCTCTTTCTTTAGGGATGACTGGCAATTGGCTACACCATTCTGGAAAAGCAGCCAGATCCCCTCCCTCCAGCCTCTGAGTACGTGCATGCGTGTGTGTGTGTGAATTGTGTGCCAGGATCTGCTTGCTGGCCCTGCTGGACACTTCTGAGGTGTTTCTGATTGGCAGAGGAAGTTTGTCCTGCTACCTCCGCCCCTGCCCTGCAGTGAGGGATGTCCTCAGGCTCTTCTTCACTGGGGGCAGCAGACCTCTCCAAGGGTCAGGCTTTGAGCCCCCAGGAAGTAGCTCCTGGGGGGGCCACCACTCACTTAATTCTCTCGAGCTCTGTCTAATCTGCTCCTGCAAGTCCTGCCAGGTCCCCAGCAGCACCCTGGCCCCCAGGCCCTCTCCTCCCAGAGAATAGGATGAGTGGGTCTCCCACTGCTGGTGCTTCTCAAAGCGAGGCCTTGCTTCTTGGTCTCCCTTTGGCTTCCACGGCCACTGGGCGTCATGGATCCGAGAGGCTCTGTGTCCTGGAGCCAGTGGGATGTAGTCGGCAGACCCCAGCCCCGCCACCCCTCACCTCTCTAGCCTCAGTCTCCTCCCTGCCTGCAGGAACGGAGGCTGAGGAGATAGGAGGGTGCCATGAGGGGGACTGTTTCTCTGTCCAGGCCCAGGCCCGAGTGGCCGGGAGAGTGCTCGATGGCATGGGTGAGAAGTGAGAATCCTGTGGTTCAGGGAGCACCTTCAGCGATCGGGTGATCTGTTCACTCACCCGCGCATTCACCCTTCATAAATACCACTGCGTTGGGCCCCTGCCTGTTCTCGGGAGGGTATGGCTCCTGTTGGCCACAGGCAGAAAGGAGGACGGGGTCCAGCGATGCCCAGGGTGGGGGAGTGTGGCCAGCCTCAGCCCTTCTCCTGAGTGTTCCAAAGGACACCACCTTCCTCCACCCAGGCATCTCCAAACGTTCCACGGGAACACCTCTTTTCCCCTTCCTCAAGCCCGGGGAAGAGGAGGCTCAGGAGGAGACTGTGATGGGGACCCCAGGCCTCCCCCCATCCCGCTGGTCTTACTCCTCATCGCTGCAGACATAGTGGCTGGATCCCCCTTACAGCCCTTGGTCACCTGCCGCCTAGTTACAGGCCAGGCCGGAAGCTCAGAGCTGTGGGGAGAGAAAATCTTGTTTGAAGAAGCAAAAGACGCACTAAGCCAGGACCCGCAGACTCAACGTGCCAGCAGGGAGGGATGGGGTGTGCTGCAGGGGTGGGGGGTGCTGTCCCGGGCAGGATCTTGGTAAATGGAGAGCAAGAGCCCCACTTCTCAGCCCCAACTGCTCCGGGCCGTATAAGAAACTGGCCCATGTCTAAAGGGAAGCTAGAAACGCAGATTTTCATGTGACAAGGAAGCCAACTTTTATTTTATTTTTTTTAAGATTTTTTTTTTTTTTTAATTTGACAGAGAGAGACACAGTGAGAGTGGGAACACAAGCAGGGGGAGTGGGAGAGGGAGAAGCAGGCTTCCCGCCGAACAGGGGGCCTGATGCGGGGCTCGATCCCAGGACCCCGGGACCATGACCCAAGCCGAAGGCAGGCGCTTAACGACTGAGCCACCCAGGTGCCCCACGAAGCCAAATTTTAAACAGACACTGTGCAGGCCAAACAAAATACAGCCCCGGGTCAGATTCATTCAGCCCATGGGCCTCTGATCTGCCTTCTGCTGGACTATGGAAGCAGGAGTGCCTCAGAAGGGAAGGGGTTTAAGACTGCGTGTGGGGTCAGGGAGCTCTTATGTAAGGGACATAGTCTGCTTTAAGTGATGGGGGGGTATCCGAGGGATATTCAGGCCACTTACATTGATGTGAATTATTATGATTGTTAATTATTGTTTTCTTCCCCCATCCTCCCCGCCAGAGATGGAGGAGAAAAGCCTCTTTCATCCAGCACTCGGTCAGTGGCCTCTGCCTGGAGGCCAAGCCCGCCCAGCTGGTGACCAGCAAGTGCCAGGCCGACGCCCCCGCCCAGCAGTGGCAGCTATCGCCGCACACATGACGGTAGCCTGGGGCCTCCCGTACCTTTTGCATGAGACTTTGGGACTGGAAGCGGGTTAGGGTGGGGGAGTGGAAAGCAGGCCGTCCCCATCTCCTCACATTTCCGCCGGAATCATCAGCAAACACCCCTGCCACGACACACAGTTCCCCAAAGCTTGTTCAGGGCGGGCACAGGGGGGCAGGCCCTGATGCCCCGGCTGCCAGCCCGGCCCTGCCCCAGAAGAGGAGACGGGCAGGATGCTGGACTGCTGCTGGGCGGAGACTGGGCAGCCCACCCCCCGGCCCTTTGTCCCCTTCCCTTCACCCTCCCAGGGTCCCAGACAGCGTTTGGGGGAGCCGTCCCCCATTGGCTGGGGAGAGCAAGGACAGAAGCTCACACAGGGCCCCTGCTGGGTCACAGGGCCTAGCTGTGGGACCGGCATGAAGGGACAATGTGGGCAGCATGGATGGGGAGGCTGAGGGCGGGGCGAGGGGGTGCAGCCTGAAGGCAGTTGGAGGACAAGAAGGAGGTGAGAAGCTCTGTGGCCTGTCCCAGGCAGGTGCTGGGTTGAGCGTGGGAGGGATAGGGTCTGGAGCAAAGGATGGCTAATTTGCAGAAGGACATGGATGGAAAAGCAGCAGAGCACCAAAAGAATTAGTCTCTTCCGGACAACCCATAGTTCTTCCCAGGCCGTGTCAGTCCCCGCGCATCGCACCCGGCGCTCTGGCCTCCACGTTCCTAGCAAGAGGCTGCAACGGGGTCTTCAGGGGCAGCCTTGGGACCCAGTTTATTAAACAGATCCCACTTCCGTTTGGCCATGTGTCAGGCCAAGACCTCTTTCCTTAGGTCTAAAGACCAGCTGGTGCCCTGTCTGCTCTGCCCGGGCCCATGGTGATGACCCCGTGTGGGCGGGCAACCACCATGCACCCCGGAGCAGCCCCATCCTCGTTCAGACTTTGGCTCCTGCCTTCTCAAAAGCCTTTGTCTCCGTAAATACAGCATTATGGTGGTGAAGTAGCTGGTAAGAACAGGACCTCCCTTCTGGAGCTAAACATTCCCTAAGACATTAGGGAGTAAGTCCCGGAGGCTAAGCCTCATCCTCACCCCTCCCCGCTGCAGGAGGGAGGCCTGAGAGGGTCAGTTCCCACAGTGAGCGGGGAGGCTGGCTGGCGGCTCCTGTTTGTGTGGAGAACCCCAGTTCCTTCTCACGGCCACTGGGCCCATGGCCTGGTCTTGGAAACGCTTCTGCTATTCCCCATTTCCTCTTCCCCAGCCCTAGTGGCTCAGGCAGGGTGATCTTTGGCAAAAGACCAGGGGTATGAGGACCCCTGGGCGTCCCCCTCCCAAAGCAAATCTGCCTGGGACCTCTAGGGAGTTCATGGATTCCAGAGGGCCCGGGACTCTCCTGAAATTGTCCCCCCAAATCGTGCATGTGTGTGCAGATGTGCATTTTCCTGGGGAGAGGGTCCATGGATCGCCCCAGCTTCTTGCAGAGGTCCCTGATCCCCAAAGGGTCTGTGCCTCTGCTCTGGCCTGGAGCAACCACCGGGCTGAGCTGCCATGCGCCTTCTCCCTTCCTGGTGAGCCTAGACTGCTGGTTCCTGCTCCTCCATGGGCCCTCAGGCCAGCAGCCCTGCCATGGGGGGCCTCAGTAGCTTCCTCGCCCCCTGGCTCTCACCAGGCCCTCGCAAGCAGTGCTCCTGGGCCCCAGCACAGGGCCCTTGGCCCCCCGCGGGGCCCCCATCTCCCGTCCTCTGTCATCACGTTTCCTCCGCCCCCTTCTGTTGTGCCTGTCCCCCCCACCCCCCCTGCAGCGTGGCCCCTTAGGGATGGGGGGGCACAGCTTCCCTCACTGAGTGTAAGGGGGCTGCTGCTCAGAGAAGCCTGAGAGCCCCTCCCTTCCCCGTGGGCCCATTGCACCTGTCCACCGCCCCTCCCTTCCCTGTGGGCAGACTGCACCTGTCAGACAGCCCTCCCTTCCCCGTGGGCCCACTGCACCTGTCAGACAGCCCTCCCTTCCCCGTGGGCCCACTGCACCTGTCAGACACCCCTCCCTTCCCCGTGGGCTCACTGCACCTGTCAGACACCCCTCCTTTCCCCGTGGGCCGACTACATCTGTCCGCCGTCCTTCATGGTGGGACTCGGCCCTGCTCTGCTCTTGCTTTTCCTCTTCTTGACCAAAGCATGTGCCACTCGCCGTCCCTGAGGGGCCTCGTCTTTATGAAACGTGCACCTGGAATAAAACCACTTCTCACCCGTACACGTGCACCCGCGCCTTTCTCACCCCGAAGCCACCCTCCCCTGCCGCGTGGGCAAGTTGGGGCCTCGATGCTATAAAACAAACTGAAAGCGCTCGGGTCTCACCCGCTCCTGTACCTGACAGCTTGCTCCTCGGCCTACACGCCCCACGGTACCCCAGGGTGTCCCGGATGACAGGCTGGCAGCTCTGGGGGACTAGCAGGTGTCCCTGCTGCTGGGGCGGGCTGGGACCAGAGCCCCGCTCCGGCTCTGTGGCCTCATCGTGGGACCCTACTTGGGGCTTTGAAGTGGAAACCACGGGGCTTTTCCAAATGCTTGCCTTTTGCCAACCCTCTCTCCTTCCCTGGGTGATAGCCCTGACCCCCCAGAACTGCCCTTCCCCGCCTCTACCACACAAAAAGGCAGTGGGAAAATGCAGGTGGGACATCTTCCTGGGTAGAAACCGCAAACTAACTCCAGAAAGAGTCCTATCAGCCTAGCCTTGTTGATTGGGTAGCAGATGCTGTGCCTAACGTTTCCATGGAAACCAGCGGAAAGCCCCCACCACTCCTATGATCAGAAGCTGAACCTACCCAGGTAAAAATAAACGCTGCTTCGGTGCACATATGAACCGTGGTGGGCAGGCCAGCGCGCACCTTTCCTGCATGCAGCCATTTCTGCCCCCACCTCCCACTTCATCTCAGGGGTTCCCAGAACTTCTGGCCACCATGCCCCTGGCTGGTGACAGTTCCAAGCACACATTGTGGCTGCAGAGCCCAGCTTGGGCTAACTGGGCACAGGGAACAATTTACTGCAGAAGACTCCGGCTGTAGTCTCTGTCTGTCCGTCCTCTCAAGGAGCACATCCCACTGCCCACCTCCTTCTTAGGGCTCTGGCCAAGCTGGGCCAGCTCTCCGCATTCCCTCTGTTTTCCTTCCCAGCCTCCAAGGGCTCTGGTGCTGCTTCTCCTGAGTCGGGCTCTTTTGCCCTCCTCCAAACCTACCTCTCTGGAGGCCCATTTTTCTCTTCCACCTTCCCTGTCTTTTTTCTGGAAAATAAGACTGTGAGCCTTTAGCCAGCTCCTGGAGGGGTTGGCAAAAACTCTCAGGCTGGCCCTTAGGGACTTACAGAACACAGCAGAAACGTCTCGAAGAGTGCATGGGTGGGGAGGGCAGGAGGGACATGGGCATGAGGCCAGCCTCCCGTTTATCCAGCAGGGAGGAGTGCCTCCAGCCCTGGGCCTCTGTGACTTGCCTTCAGTTTTCCCAGTGGCTCAGCCCCACACCCCTCAGGAGAGGGCTCTCCATCTGCAGTTAGGGGAAATAACATGGGCAACACCTGTCTTCCAAGGGGACCGGCACCCCCAGGCCTGCGGAGAATCTTCCATCACTGGGCGGGGTGTGATCCTCGCCCACCAAGAGAACAGAATAGGAAACCTGGAAAAGAAAAGCTACAGCTCATGACCCACAGCTTCATTCCCGACAGTGTTCCCACCGTCCTTGGTGTGTCCCTGCCATGGTTGGGTCTGTTTCCTCCAGAGGGAGGGAGGGGTTCAGGCAGCTTCTCATCTTAAAAGGTCTTCACGGCTGGGCAAAGAGCTCAGGTGAGGCAGGTGGGGGCCGCCCTCTCCTGGGACTGCAGCCAGGCTGTGTGGGTCAGCAGGAGGGTGGAGGCTCCAGAGCCATCTGAGGACAGCCCTCTGCCTTGGGACTCGACCCCATGAAGTGCGAGGAAGTGGGTAGACAGAGTGTGGATCCCAGCCCTCGTCAGCCAGGCTGTCCTCACTCTGTCACTTACTGGCCATGTGGTCTTGAGTCTCTTACATCGTCTCTCAGCCTTGGGTTCCTCACCTGGAGGAAGGGGTCACTTCGAGCCCTGGAGGGGTTTTGTGAGGAATGATTTATTTCTCGTGTGCAAAGCATCTCTCTAAAAGCCTAGTAAACATGCATTCGTGCCACTATTTTTTTTTTTTTTAGATTTTTATTTATTCATGAGAGACAGAGAGAGAGAGAGAGAGAGGCAGAGGGAGAAGCAGGCTCCCAAGGAGCAGGGAGCCCGATGCGGGACTCGATCCCAGGACCCCGGGATCATGACCTGAGCCGAAGGCAGACGCTCAACCATTTGAGCCACCCAGGCGCCCCCGTGCCACTATTAATAAACATTTTTGGAGTGCCTGCTACGTACTAGGCACTTTACCAGGGGTGGTGACACACATATAAAACAGAAATTGTCTCTGCCCTTAAGAACATTCTAGCAGGAGACATGGACAAAGAAAGAGGTCCCTGTGATACCACATGATAAAAGCCACAGGAAAGGCAGGAAATATGGGAGCAGCAAGGAGGGGCCTCTTGCTGTGGGCTGGGGGCCAGGAGTCCTGATGCTTCCAGGACAGCTGCTCATTAACCTCTGGGCAACGCCTGCCTCGGCTGGGTGGAGGGTGGGCTGGATGAGGCCTGGTGGGAGCTAGAATGCTAGCTGGGCTGGTGGCTCAGCAGGTACCGTGGAATGGCCTGGGCTTGTCACCTCAGTGCACACAGCATCATGGGGATGTAGACCAGTCTGTAATCATAGAAGGATTCTGGAAGGAAGGTATGGCAGCCATTTAAACCCAAACAGATAAACTAATGAGCTAATGACCATTCCTCCAGGGCTCAGTCTTCTTTGGTGAGGGCAGAGGAAAGGATGGGGAAATAGGTGGCCAGGAGAACTGGATGATTCTTATCTGGAGACAATGAATACAAATGACCAGGTGGAGTTCCAGAAAGACTTGTTTTCCCCTTCCTCCTTGGTTCAGGTTATCTCTGATCCATTCACGCCATCTGAAAACAAAGCCTGTCTCTCAACAATTTGTCTTTCAAATAAGTGTCTCTCAAGTTTCAGCCCCCAGATAAGCTGGGGCAATCAGCTCAAGGTGCCCGTAGGCATGTTTGTCCCCAGGCTCTCACCCAGACCTGCTGACTCCGAATTTCCATGTGTGTCCCATGGCCTAGGTGATTACAGATTCACCTGGAGTCTGCGACCCTCTGAAGCATGAGGCAGACCTGGAGGCCCAGGGAGGAGGAGCCATGCAGGGGATACTAAGGGTGAGCCCCAGCTCTGCACCAAGTACTACAGTACTTGACCTCACTGTGAGCAGGAGAAGCCAAGGGGAAAGAAGGCCACCCCCATGCCCCTTACCAGCAAAAGGATGTAGGAGCTGGATGTCTGAGCCAGAACTGGCTCCCGAGGGGAGCAGTGACAGACAGATGC